GATGGATATTTGTATAGCAAATTTGTTTTCGTCTTGACACTTCTCAGTTCTCAGTTCTCAGCTCATCACCCTCGTGCATAATGATATAATGTCAACGAATGACTACACAACGACGTACTGAGAATATTCCAATACAACTCTTCTGCGACTGGCTTATGTGACTCTTCATGATCTAGTGATTACGACTACATTTTAACGTCGATGTGACTTCCCAAAGTGCGCCTTCTCATCGTTTTGCCATACATACCAACGTCAGAGCATAGTACAAGACGTAAGTCACACACTTTTGAACATGGTTTTGTAGATGTCTGTATGTGTGCTTGGGGCTCCACACGATGAGCCTAACATTGAAATTCTTCAAATAACTTACGAATCATAAAAAATAAACGAGTAGAAACAACAATGGGAAACCGAAAATCACTATATCCATATATTTGTGCCTGAATCAAATAGGCTAGTTACTATTCCGGGAACAAAAGCTCAATAGTCGTTTGGGAAATGTTGATTCCTTTAACAATCAAAAGTAGACCTTCAAATTCTGGATATTCTAGATTTGTTCACATTTTTGAATAGAGCTCGTTGAGTACTATATCATGGAATTTCTATTTTTTTGAGAATTGTTCGACAGGTTCCAAATTAGGAGGGCGATTGCGGATTTGAATCGCACACTCTGTATAATGATTGTATTTGCTCATGAATATACGAATATCAGGTAAGGAGCTAGGGCAAGTTGTAAATTCACCATATTTGCGTACTTTGCAAACATAGCGATTTTATTCGGCTTTTCGCAGATAATTCATGATCTACTTATTATTCAAACAAACGTATCATGTACAGATTTGAGGAGCATCGAATCATCTATAAAGCTAATGTAAAGTTCGTTGATATGCAAGAAAGTGAACAGCTATTGAATCGGTCGGACTTGAAGATGTGTTCTAGTCGTAGTTGCCAATCTCCGGTTCATCCATGCCACTTATTTGATTTGTCCTATTTTCCTTCATTCACAACTGCGGTATACCGTATGAAAATATCATAGCTTTGTTTTTTATACTGTGGGGTGGAACCGACATAGAAAAGTGATCATTTAGCGCGCTACAATTATAATAGTGTTGATATTATTCGAAATTGAATAGGTATTCTTCCGACATTTGGGCTTCTTCATGACTTCTGGTTTCCCTTACCCGGTTACAGCGTGCGCGAAAAATATGTGCTCGAGCAAGTGCTGATTGAAGGCGGTGCTGGTGATGGTGAAGCTTGCTGGGTACATTTCCTCTTCCATGTTCAGGATAATATAGGTTGGAGAGTAAACCAACTAAAATGAATAGAAGGCCGACCTCCTGAGACAGTTACCCTCACTTTTTCTCCTGCCAAAAAACAACAAAATAAGTCGGTTCACATCATCCTCTCCTATGCATGATGCTATACCGCACTCTTCAATTTTTTCCTCAGCCTGTTGCGAATTGATGACAGTTAGTAATTCCACAAGTGATCGAGTTTTCGCGATAAGACTGACGATTTATTTCTGAACGGAACTGAATCCAACAAGAAAATATCTCTTCTCGAATCAATTCAATTGAGCTCAGGAATGAAAGACAGACTCATGTGATGAATTCGGTTAGAAGTGGCATTTCATTAGACTTTTTCACGAAGTGATAAATACAAAATCTGGATGGAATGAAGTTCGATGAATTGAATGAATTAACGTCAAACAGAATATATTTCTGATTGAACTAGTGATTTGAACACCTACTTGTACATACTTGCTATATGTGTTATATCTTGATTCCAATGATACCTAACATTTGAAATGAATTCTTCGTGGTGCTGTTTACTCAGTCGGATGAAATCTGATAAATGCGTTCACAACTTTATTACTTGTATTTCACGTTTTATTGTCACATACACATTGAAACACCGAACTTGACAGGCCAATCAGAGTCGAGAGTTCGATGTTTTCGATAAGCCGAACTTGATTTGAGTTTCTGAATGATTAATTTGATAACTGCGTGAAGTTGTTTCGGGAATCTGAAATGGCCATCAGGACCAATTTCTCAGGTTCGGCGATTCATTCAGTAGTTTATTACCTCTGCGTCCTCTGCAAAGTAGAGAAAAAATGCATACATATTTATTGCAACTCGGTGCATTTATTCACAGAAGAGATTTGGAATCATACATCTCGAATATCTAAAGTGTTCATGAGACAGGAAGGAATGATCAGTTAACGATATTGGTATAATGGTCAACTTTCGTCATTTTCACTTCACAACAATTATTCAAACTATATAACAATGATGTTTGGATGATAAGTCTGCTCGACTATAGAATGTTGATCCCTTCATTGTTCTCGCATCAGCTTTCATTCATCTTTCGATTTCAAATCGTAGTGATAGGTCCCGTGCACGATGACCGACCCTGAAGGTGAAATATTGCAACATAACCTCAGTCTTCTGTGAAACATTGAAACACAACCTCACTTTCTTCATTTGTTTACAGAGAAATCAATGGATTGAAATACTGTTCACAATATTTTGGCATACGAATCGTATTCTTTGCGCTATTTATCCATTCAAGCATGCTTTCTCATTGTGCTGTTGTACAATGCACGAAAAATGCATAGAAGGACGAAGAATTGTGATTCATTCAGGTAAGTTAGTAATCTCATTGTTTTCATTATGAAATTTTGTAATTTTTTATTGAAATTACTTTTGCATCTTCTGCAATAGAAGCTAATACTGCTAATAGATTGAAAATGTCTTCAACACACACGATCATACTTCGTCAGCATGTGAGACCAGTCCTCCCGTTTGATTGCATGAATCCAATCTCCTTGCATTATTTTAGGAATTTCACGAGTATTTTTATTAGCTCCTACTGCAGAAGGAATTCCGATGAGAAATCAGAGAAATTGCCAAATATCAAAATGAAAACTTCATGGTTGTGACTATAGTAGGTACTCATATTCAAATCATGATGTACTTACCGGATTTCTTCGCCTCCCGCTGCATTTTTTGTGCATTGCACAACAGCACAATGTGAGGCATGCGCGAAATAATCATAAGCCGAAAAACACGATTCGTATGCCAAAATAATCGTGAAAAAATATTTCAATCACTTGTTATCAAATAAGAAAAGTGAGGTTGTGTTTCAATGTTTCAACTCCAGGGTCGGTCATCTGACAGTTCTTGCAGGCAACCCATTCTAGCTACCAAACATAACGTGGTCTCCGATCTGTCCAACTTCCTCTCATTTCTGGAGTAGCTTGGCACTTGTTCTCCATGACTCAGGCCAGTCACCTCTTTTATTTCGGGTGATGTCAATTCAATATATGTTCAGTGCCACATACTTTGATTTCGGCAATTGTGCCAATCAATATTTGGGAGAAACCTGCTTGTGCTGGCGATAGTTTTTATTACTTGATTAGAATTATTTCTCACATTTGCGATAATGGTTTCGTGATGCTGTTTACTGAGTTGAAAGTGAACTACTCATTTCAAAATTCGTGCTTAACGTTATTATCAATATCTCATGTTCAACTGTCACATACACAAATATGGAAGAATCGATTGACAGGCTCATCAGAAACAAAGATCAAGTTTGGTTCTCAATTGTTCTGGAATTTTTCTCATTCGTCATTTGGTAACCCTCTCACAAGCAACCCTCAGAAGTCTTCAAGAGCCTTGTGCGAGCAAGAAATGACGTTAACTTCACTTTTTAACGTGTGATCACTATCACTTTGTTAGGCCGTCAAACCTACGAGCCGGCAATTCAATGTAAATAGAGCTAATGATTGGTTCATTTCAAAACTGTGTGGAAGAGTCTCAATTCATTCTAAGAGTGGATGAATTTCCGCGGTTATTCTGCCTTTCATTCCTGAGCTCAACTGGATTGCGCTTAATTCAGTTTCGTTCATACTAATCGCGGAGTTTTAATGACTTGTGGTATCATAACTGACAATTATTTCCACATGATGCCATATTTCTGTAGGGATATAAAATTCAGTGAAAGTGTAAAGCTCCTTGGTACATGGCACGACTCGGACCTCAGTTTCTTCTCTTATGTCGACTATGTTTGTAAACGACTAAATAAAGCATACTTTGCAATCCTTCAAATGAAACCAATTTTGGATACAAAAGGACTCTTGAACTTATACTATGCATTTGCATTCAGCCATAATATATATCAAATAACATCGCAACATGGGGTCTAACATCGGCTCACATGAAAATCTTCATTTCACAGAAAAGAATTGTCAGACTACTATTTGACCTAGATTTCCGCGAATCATGTAGATCAATATTCAAAGAGCACTCTATTCTAACTTTCTATTCAATTTTCATCTTAAAATGTGTAACATATGTGAAAGCCAACATTTCCGATTTTAGCGTTTTGGGAAGCAACCATTGCTACCCATCAAGAAACTTCATTTTGGATATACCAAAACATGAAACATCAACCTTCAAAAAATCTACCCTGTTTAACTGCATATCTCTATATAACAAATCACCAAAACACTTGAAAGATATCAATACCTACGCACAATTCAAAAACGCAACAAAAAAATTCCTATTAGAAAACTGCTTATACTCCATGGAGGAATTCCTAACAAATCAACTCAAACACTGAATGTTCACTAAATAAATTAACTGTTCTGTTCAATTTGTACCATACCCATCATTTTCTAATGTTTTTAATCTGTATATCTTTTTTAAGATGTCTACTGGAATGTTTGTATATGTATATGTAATTTTTCATTTTATCTTGTGAAGTTTGACTTGTCATTTGTACCTGATTACTTGATATGGCCAATAAATTTACTACTACTACTACTACTATTCAACTCATTGTATCACTCGCCCAGTTACTTTTCAATGCCAACACCAGATTTGCTTGACCTTGCAGCGAGGAATGAGCCAGACACAGTGGTTTTATCCTCCCTCGCCCACTAACCGTTCATACATTCCCAGTCGGGGGTATTCTAATTTCGTTTCTTATTATTCCAGGAAGCCCTTCTACGTCGTCTCGGCCCCAACGCGTATCCCTTCGAAATGGAAATAACGCCGCTATCTCCGCCCAGCGTACAATTAGTTCCCGCCAAGGAGTATAACGGAGCTCCCATTGGAACTAGCTACGACGTACGAGCATACGTCGGTGAGTCTGTGTTATGTGTTTCCGCAGATATAATTTTCGCTAATATGATCTCCATGCAGAATGGGCTTCAACCGGAACAGTAAACCTGAATAAGTAGAGTGGGTAGCAGGGAATTAGCTTTTTCGAGATATACCCTAGCGAAATATTATTCAATAAAATTGTATCTTGAGAGGATAGTCTATCGGATTGACGTTGGCGGTGAACATGAAACATTTCAGGGATCATTCTATCAACATCCTCCTCCTCCTCCTCCCTTAGTTGCTGTGTTTAGTAGAGATAGTGAGTAGCAAAAGTGTCAACAATCAACAAAGTTTAACTTCAAGATTGCCTCTCCCAAGAACATGGTCATCAATTTGGCTTATTAAAAAAATCTTCCACTAGATTGAATCGTAGCAATATTCTGAGAAAAATTGATGAAACTAGGGTATTGACGAGATTCATGGCAGCACTAACAGAGAAACAAAAATCTTCTTGTACACTGAGAAAACTCAATCAAGTGAATAGTTTCCATAAAAAAGGTCTACTGTGACAAAAACATTCCTACCAACGTCAGGTGAAAAAACTACTTGAAGTACGTGAAACAATATTTCTGAAACAAAGTTTATGCTGTGAGTGATCAGGACACTTGTGAGTATCAATCAAATCGAAATACAGTTCTCAACACACCAAATGGACCACTCATAATTTGACTCTATTTCGAAGACCTGTATTTTTTTAAAAAATTGACCGATCTTCATGCGGTTTTCGATATCAGATGTGATGTTTCATCGGCTTCAAAGAGAGCTAGAACAATCTGAAAAAGTCCGCAAAACAAAACTCACACAGGGTGTAAAGTGGAACCATTACACTATGGTCTACATTTCCAATGCTGCCAGAACTCGAGAAATTTTTTTCTGATCAAAAGTCAGTCATATTATGATACACTGGGACCTCATCTCGGGACGTTTTCGTGATTTCTCCTTAATTGGCCATTGGAACAAAAATTCGATTTTTTTTTCGAAAGTCTTGCATTTCTTGATCTTTTCCTCTAGAACTCCACTTGAGCTGACTATTGGGAAGAACTGTTCTCATGTTTCATGGAGGATAATGAAAGACGAAAAAAGCACTTTTTTGGATTATACAGGATGATAAGAAACTAGGACAAAATCTCATTTCAGTGAAAAAAATGGTGACTAAAACTATGGCCCATTCGATCCAGTATATTCAGAAACGGCCTTCTCGATATCCATCATTTATATTAGACTACTAACTCGAGATATTTTCGAAAATTCGCCTCTAAGTGAAATACAGGATGAAATTTTTCAATTCAAACTTGTTTCCTGATATCGATGATTTTCAATATTTATTGCTCAAGTATGAGACACAGAGTATTGTTGTTCAATGTACTGAGTGTTCTACAACTTATCTGACAAATTTCAACCACAACTACGATATTACATGAGAAGTCTATCACAAAAAAAATTATAGAAGTAAAACGAGATGAAAAATAAAATTTGTAACACTTTATATCCACTAAAACTATTCTAAAAGGGCTCTATTGGCGAAATATGACATTATTGAATTCTTCAGCATTATGAAGATCCAACTAGAAAGTCCTATATCCTAAATTTCAGTACTTGGTAGGCCTCCCCGATTCAACAAAACCTCATGAAATCGGTTTGGCATAGATTTTATGAGGTTGTTGATGAAGTCTATTGATATTGCCGCCCATTCTGGATAAGGTTGTCATTATTTTGGGGTGCCTCGCCTTCTCGATAGGTCAAGTTTCATTCGGCTCCACACATGTTCAATCAAATTCAGATCTGAAGATAATGCTGGTCATCACATTCTTCTAACATTATTTTTTTCTAGTGTTCGTAATTCGTCAGATAATTTGTGGAACACTCAATATATTGAACAACAATGCTCTGTGTCTCATACTTGGGCAATTAATATTGGAAATCCGTTGATAAAATGATGAGAATCATCGATATCAGGAAACAAGTTTGAATTGAGAATTTTCACCCTGTATTGTCCTATTTTCTTATCACCCTTCTCGAATAGTTTTAGTTGATATAAAGTGTTACAAATTTTATTTTCCATCGCGTTTCACTTCTATTAATTTTTTTTTGTGATAGACTTCTCATGTAATATCGTAGTTGTAAAACACTCAGTATATTGAACAACAATTCTCTGTTTCTCATACTTGAGCAATAAATATTGAAAATCATCGATATCAGGAAACAAGTTTGAATTGAAAAATGTCATCCTGTATTTCACTTAGAGGCGAATTTTCGAAAACATCTCGAGTTAGTAGTCTAATATAAATGATGGATATCGAGAAGGCCGTTTCTGAATATACTGGATCGAATGGGCCATAGTTTTAGTCACCATTTTTTTCACTGAAATGAGATTTTGTCCTAGTTTCTTATCATCCTGTATAATCCAAAAAAGTGCTTTTTTCGTCTTTCATTATCCTCCATGAAACATGAGAACAGTTCTTCCCAATAGTCAGCTCAAGTGGAGTTCTAGAGGAAAAGATCAAGAAATGCAAGACTTTCGAAAAAAAATCGAATTTTTGTTCCAATGGCCAATTAAGGAGAAATCACGAAAACGTCCCGAGATGAGGTCCCAGTGTATCATAATATGACTGACTTTCGATCAGAAAAAAATTTCTCGAGTTCTGGCAGCATTGGAAATGTAGACCATAGTGTAATGGTTCTACTTTACACCCTGTGTGAGTTTTGTTTTGCGAACTTTTCCAGATTGTTCTAGCTCTCTTTGAAGTCGATGAAACATCACATCTGATTTCGAAAACCGCATGAAGATCGGTCAATTTTTAAAAAAAATACAGGTCTTCGAAATAGAGTCAAATTATGAGTGGTCCATTTGGTGTGTTGAGAACTGTATTTCGAGGTCGCTAATTATGACACACTGAACTAGTGCTAGGTTGATGAATACTCACCATCATCAAATTATTGTTCTGAGGCAAAATCACTTGTCTGAGCGAACTCATCGATGGAGACAATCTATCAAGTCGATTAGTGCAGGTGACAGCTCACATGTGGTTAACACGTTAAATGCCACGTATGGCTGGAGTAGGAGGCTCTGAGATACCAAGGCTAGGTTTGAGTGAATTATCATTTTTTTAGCGTAATTTGAGAATATTTGCTCTTGCTAGTTCTTGCTGACGTTCTCAAGGTCACCAGCAGCTATCCAGTTTACTGCACAGCGGGCTATATTGGACTTACTTACTTATTTATTTTCGTTATTGAATATAAAAAAGTAAAAATTAGATCATATCTAGATATGAGACCGCTAAATGGCGATGCATTCCAATTTATGAAGCAGGGATTGACACATAAACCAGGTTTTTTTGGGCAAACAGGTCGAAAATTAATAGTTTCTGTTTCTTTCATCTTCGAGCATTGGCAACATTTCGGATATTTTTTTTGTTGATTGATTCGGCTCCAAAAAATTGAATTTGTTTGTTCTTGTTGTTTCGGCTAGAGGAGTTTCAACAAAAGTGTCTATTTGCTGATCCATGAGCTTCCTAATTATTTCTTCACGAGAGTGAAGTGAAATGTAATAAGTACCCCTCATACACAAATCCAACTAATGGAAATCACATTTGCGGTACTCACACCCCAAGGTTTTTCTTGGAGTGGAATAATACATCATTTGGTCGATATATAATGACAGGTAGTGTAGACTTGTCAAGAAGAGCTTAGAGAAGAGAGTGATCCCTTAGCTGTCTTCAGTATTCATATTCCCTCCTGGTTCTTATTGGTCGGAATCCTCAACTAAGGCTGCAGGAACTATCATCCAGAAGCACATGGTTTTAAACTCACAAAAATGCAAAAAAAAAGTATATTCAACCCTAAATGGGCACAGGAACAGCATCTACTACCCTTGCTCATGCTACTGAATGAATTTGACTGGAAAATATCTACTAACAAAAAAGATACAACCAGGTGAACATCCATCATTTCAACTGATACATAATTCAATCAAATTACATATCATAAGCAAAGGGTTGAAGGATATTGAAGTCTCTAGGGTTGTAATGATGTTTATCAGAGTTAACTATCAGGAAAAGCTTTAGGAAGTCAGGAATCAATGCATTACTCAGCTCTCTCATGTTTTCAGGTTTCGAGCTTTCGAACAAGTGAAATTCAAGTAGAATCAGTCTCAGGTTACTTAGATATTGATCAAAGCCAGTCTAGTAATGAAGCTGGTCAAAAACACTTCATTACAATATCAAATCCTCATCAGTAACCTGAAGTCCAGTTACTCTTTCAGCCATTCTCCATTATATGCACAATCTTCATCTTCCTATGATATATCTGGAATTATAACGAACTGACATCTGAGAATCATGATTTGTTGACATATTCCTGTCATCTGGGCATTTGTTTTTGAATAAACCGAGAAAGAATCAATATTTTCATGACATGGAGAATGCGGATTCTCGACGTATTTCTTTATGTATATGTCCAAACTCCAGAAAAGCGTTGTATGTACTTTGTTATATTCAATGTATTGTCTTTTTTTATGTTCTGGTTCATGTAATCTTCAGAAAACATCGTGAGAACCAAGAGAAATAAGGTATAAATTGGTGTTCTTCTTCAATTTCTGGAGGTTATAATGCGTTCCAGAGCCCCGCCGTTCGTTGGATAAACGGGTCTTTGGAAAGTGATGTTCTGCAGGTCTCCAAAGTGACCACAAAGGGGAGCGAAGTCTCAACTAGACGGGTCAATCTCGCGGCGACTGCCAAGGGAGGAACATTTGTAAATATTTCAGAAGAGCATCGTGCATGGAAATATCTATACAATAGAGCCAGATCGCCAACTTGTTCACGGCGTTCCAGAGAATGGGGTGAGTTTGTGAGCGTGGCATCACCCACGAGACGAATAGCCTTTTTTGGACAGAATCCAAAAGTTCCAGGGTATTTTTGGGTGATGCACTCCGAATATGGGAACAGTATTCCAGTACAGGTCGAATCTGTGCCTTATAGATCA